GTCATTCAAAGTGAAAAGGGGAATGCCTAAAAGCATGTTTTCAAGTCCAGAGATTCCGTTATTTACAAGTTGTGCAAAGGGGCCAGTGAGGAAACAATAGGAGGGCTGAAAACACAGATAACCTATCACAGCAAATAAATGTGGGTGATTTGGCAACACTGGCCTCCAAAAGAAAGGCCAAGATCATTTCCCATCACAATGATCAGATTGATTTTGCCATAATTGGGTTTATGGGTAATCCCTTCATATATACTTTTTTTCCCATTACTTTGCATTGTTGCATAGATATTAAGGTTGATGCTGGAGTAAAAAGAACTGGACGTTCAAATTTTAAAAATCTAGTTTATCTTAAATAAAATATTAGTTGTTCAAATGTGATCTAAATATCAAGGCTCAAAATATGTTTTTGTGGGAATCAGAACAGATTTCCATACGCATATGTGATAAAGCGGTGTAACTTTTAATTAGGAAGAAGCACATTAAGTCCAGGTGGGAATGTCTTCTGATGTTAGAATGATGTTTGTTTCTTTCTCCCCAAGTAAAAACGCATACCTCCTAAAATTTAAAAGGTGACGACTAATTTTTCTTTGTACATTCTAAGTTTTCAATATTGACTTATATATGCACTTATTTTTTAATTTGGATAAGATACTATTGAAATAATTTCAAAACGTGACCCAAAGGTGTTGGGCACGAATGCATTTATTCATGCATTAATAAGGAAGTGGTGAACTGAAGTCCTAATGCACAACACAACATGGATGAACCTTGAAAACACTATGATCGATGAAATGTCAGTGACAAAAGGACAATGTATGATGATGTCACTTACCTGAAATAAGCAAATATAGAAAACCCAGAGTTTACCAGAAGTTGCCATGTGGGAAGAGAGGAGAAAAGATGGAGGTTTTATGTAGGGGCATTGAGTTTATGTTGGTGATGATGGAACAACTCAGAAACGAATAGTGGTCATGATCACACAGTGTGAAGAATGCCACTAAATTCACTAAATTATACATGTAGAAATAGTTGAGTAGGAGAATGTTCTATTGTGTGTATTTTCAGCACAAAACAATTAAAATAAAGGAAGTGGATACTGCACTTATCTTTGAAACAAGGTCATTCTGGAGCTTTTGGGAATGTGCTTCCTCAAAAAGAAAGATGGACGTATGTCAGCAGCTTCCAAGCTGCCTATCCTTGCGGAAATGTCAACCGATATAGTCAAGCCTCTCTTGTCATCACATCGAGATGCGAGGTGAAATACAGAGTCACGTGGAGGACAGATCTTTTCTCAAGCTAGAGGAAGGAAGCTTTTTGAGATATTTAGAATGTTTGCAAGATGAAGATAAAGAGAAGTACTCTTTGCCTTCACGAGAAGACTGCAGAAATAATCTCCTTACTTTTCTTGACCTTAAGAGCTATCAGAAGGAAATGCTCATTGAGAGAACCCTTTCAGACTCATCTGTGTTTTGATCAAAGATGTGAGCCTTGCCACCTTTGCCTGCGTCAAGCACAATGTGATGGGACAAAATCCACTGAGGATTTTTGAGTTCTGTTTGCTTGCTCATATTTTACAAGCTTCTTGTTATTGCAGTCTGCTGTCCAGTAGTCCCCTCTCCCTCAGTACATGGTGAGCCCATGCATCAGGGAACCAGACTCGGCCTGGTTTTTATAGAGCCACAGAGTTTTTATAGAAGTCAATCTCCAGGCCTTTCTCCCTAGTCTCTTTTAGTCTGGATGCTCCACTGAAACGTGTTCAGCATCCTAGGGTGTTCACAGACAGAGAGGTGGTAACTATGTATGATGAGTTACATTGTCTGGGAATCAAACATAGGGCTACTTCATGAAAGGCAAGAATTCTGCCATGGAACTTGTCAGATGCCATTGAGTCGGAACTGACTCATAGCGACCCCATGCACAGCAGAACGAAACAATGTCCAATCCTGGGCCAACCTCACTACCAATGCCACACTTGAGCCCATTGATGCTGCCACTTTGCCAGTCCATCTTTATGGGGGATCGCCATAGTTACCACCACCAAAATTTCCTCCTTTATTGTAACCGTCATATCCTCCACCACTTTGGTGTCCATATCCTGGTCCACCACCTCCATAGCCCCCTCTACTACTATAACCAGGACCATGTCCATAGTTGCCACCATCACCTCCAAATCCATTCTATGTACCATCATCTCCACCGCAACTACCTCTGCTGCCACCACCTCCACCACCATAGTCTCCTGTTCCACCAAAGTTTCCACCGTGGCCAAAGTTTCCTCCATGACCCATGAAGTTGCCAGATCCACCTCCATGACCGCTTTGTGATCCAGCAGACTGCATCTTTTGAGCAGAAGGGGCTTTTTTCACTTCACAATTGTGCCCATCAGTAGTGTAGTATTGCTGAACAACAATTTTATCAACTGTATCTGGGTTAATGTGTCAGACTGCAAAGCCATTTGAATTGGAAAGTCAGCGGTTCAACTCACCAGCTGCTCCTTGGAAACCCTATACAGGGTTGCT